TGCAGCATATTCACAGTGTGGTCACTTTGTGCAACTTGGAGATGAGACAAATTTCTGAATCCTACATCACTGATTGAAGAGGAATTGTGTAGTGCCTGGGCACCAATTACATACCCTACTGAGATGATATAAAGAGCCCCAATTATAGTGGAGTATTTTGTCAGTTAAAATAGCAAACGCATACCAGAATAAAAATCAGTAAGGCACTATTAAATGTATAAAAGGTATTATACAGTCTTTCATCTTACATTCCATTTTTATGAGTACTGAATGGTAATGTACTAACAATTGCTATAACATGCGTACATAAAATAAGAAAACAGGATTGTACGCTGTTTTATTAAGTGTGCTGAACTGATAGGAGAGTTGGAATTGCTCAGCCTGGAAAAAAAGATCTTTTGGGTGGCCTAACTGCAGCCTTCCAGTTGCCTGAAGGGAGACTAAAAGGAAAATGGAGAGAGACTATTTACAAGATGTAGTGATAGGACAAGGGAGAATGGGCTCTAAGATGAAAGAGGGAAGGTTTAGATTAGATTTTGGGAAGCAATTCCCAAAGTGAGGGTGATGAGGCACTAGAACAGGTTGTCCAGAGACGTTGTGGATGCCCCACCCCTGGAAGGTGGGCAAAGCCAAGTTGGATGGGCCTCTGAGCAACGTGATCTAGTTGAAGTTATCCCTGCCAAGTGGGCTGGAATCCTATGATGCTTCAAAGTCCCTCCCAACGCAATTCTATGAACCTATGATTAGAAACCATAAAGACATTAAGAACATGTAATCAAATTAAACATCTACCTGTTTTGCAGATTGATAATTCAGAGAAAGTTCTCTTTCCAACTATATTTACTTCCATCATATTAAAGATTTCTAAAGGAGATAAAACTCATCCTTTTATGACATAGCACCAAATCACTGGTAAATAGCATAAGCAAGTGTTTAAGAGTAGGCTAAACTTTGTACAAGTGATCAACTTCACATTCTAGTGCACTGAGCACACTCAACAACTGCATCTTGGAAGTGAGCACAGCATATTATTTTTACTAACATTCTTTCAATGTTAAAATTGAGTTCAGATCTCTCTGCTCTCTTTGGGAAGTGCTAAGAGCTGGCAAAAGGTGCAGAAGGTAAGGGAAAAAACAAGATTAATGTCTGTAGGATTTTAGAGCTACTACTGTCACCATCAACACAATGTGGAGTTTTCCAGTACATGGTGTGTGCACTCACAGACTAAGATAAGACACTAGGGAAATAGTTCTCTAATGTTTAACTTAATTTTGGGGCCAAGAGTAAGATTTCAGATACATCATTCATTCTATGATCTATTACCTTTTAGCAAGTTACAAGACTGGAGACAATAAAAGCTTTATTTTGGAGATACATCAATACAATTGGCACTGCTCTCCAAGAACATACACCAAATATTGCAAACATTAAGATAATGTGAAAAAAGCCTAAGTGTATGAACAGCTTAGAAAAATTTCTCGTTTAATGTATTTCAAAATCAGTGATTCATCTAAGCAAGCCAACACACAGTTCTTAACATGAGAACTACAACTGAAATAGAGTCATTATTCAGTCCAAAAGATCCTGAATGTTCCTGGTCCTTCTTAACAGGAGCCATTATTTTAAAAAAAATCTTATGTATTATGGATACTGGCTAAACTACCTAAAATAGGTGTCAAATGTTGCTATTTGTCTATGTGTTTATCAGTTCTTTTACTAAAGCAATTATTTTCGTGCACAGTCTCAATATAAAACTCCTTGATATAGGCTCAAACACAATTTCTGCCAGTTTTAACATCTTTCCTCTGTAATGGCCAGAGAAGCAATCTTTTTGACTCTCTACAGGGTTATAGATGTAGAAAAAAATAGTGCAAAAGACTGTAACATACAGTTTCTTCAGTTTTAAAGTAGTATAAGGATGTTCACACTTAGCTTAAGCCAACATGAAAAAAAAATCATATGAATACTAAGAGCCAGTTATACTCCAGGTTCAGCCTGTTTTTGGTAAACTGAAGACTTTCTGTGGATGTATTAAAATAACTTTCATTTTGATAAAATTTAATCATTACTGGAATTTCACTTAATTAATCTATTTTCACCAAGGAATGAATTTTCCCTCTTAATGACAAATTTTTTACTGCTGGAGGTTCATGTTAACACAGCTTCTAGTGCCTGAGCCAGCTGAGCTCCACCTGTAGGACAATTTGTACATCAGTTCACCCTCTGTGCAAGTCACCCAAAGGCCAACACCTTTAGGAAGGGTTTAAGCAGGGGAAAAAACACAAAAATACATGAAGTTATTCTTTAGACGAGTAACAAGGCAAGACTAGAAGAAGGTGATATCCAAAAGTTTCAAAATAAAGATCTTTATTTCAAAATACTGTTTGCAAGTAGCACATCCAATTGATATAAAATACAAACAGCATGTTTTTTAAATGGGCCAGTTTGCAGAACTATAAACTGAAACACTGTACAAGTTCACAAGAATTATTATAAAATAGACAATTAAGTTCTAATGTTTTCATTTTATTTAAACTCTATTTTCACATTTGACTTCTAATTCTGCTTTTTTTTATTACACAAGGTGCTTACAAGATTGATTATAGAGTGGAAATTACAAAACAGAATTTAAGGATATAAATATAGAAAGGAATTCCTTAAACTACATGCTAATATTCTCTGCTACAAAGATATATTTTTCAAAAGTGCTAATATCTCTATGACAAACAGTAGCAGATTACATTTAAATGTCAAACAAAATACACATTTCTTTTTAATTGTCTGTAATACTCTGATACTTCTAATTATTATGAGGCTTAATAACACTATTTTCACTTCCTAGTATTTCACAATCCCACAAGTGGAAAAAGACATATTTGTGTGTGTATGTCCATGTGTGTGAGAAAAAGTATATACACATATGCATAAACAAAGTTCTCATAATTATTGTTTTCATAATTTCAATAATCAAAAACCCACTAAGTTCCAGTAAGTAGAAACAAGGCCTTGTGCAGGACAAACTCTATAGATAACTTTTACACAGGAGAAGAAATCCATAGATATTTTTTTTGGGGTTTTTTTTTTTTTTAATCATATCAACCTGTGGTAAAAAGAAATTTTAGTAAAATCTAGCATTCACTAAAAGCATGATACACAAATGTGCATTTTCCATGCATGGAACTGGAACTGCACCAGCAGGGCATGGATATTGGGGCAGGACAAGAGACTGGAAGTCCTCTTCCCTGTCCCAAAAGCACAATCAGACAAGAAACAGCCATAATTCTCTTCTCTGTGACCAGAAGGACAAAAGGGAGTTCATGGTGCTTTCTAGCCCCAGAGAACATGTTCCCACAACCACGGTGTCAACCACAGACCTACAATGGACAAAGTACTGTCTAGACTTTTCCAAGGTGCATTGAGTCCCAATGCTCACTGTGATGCCCCCAATTTCCCCAGAGGCATTATGCCTTACAAAGACAAAATGCCTCCAGGCAATGCCACTCAACCAAGGCACCTCTTCCCCCTTCCCAATGTGGTTCAGCCTTTTAGGAGTCATAATTGAGCCCCATGAGCCTGATTCTGAGCACTGGGAATTTATCAATTTAACTATATTATTCCTTATTAGCCTGCCTATTACCATAATATTTTTGTGCTCTCTAACTGGAATTTAACCAATAGGAAATTCCGACATGAATGGAAATGCACTCAGTTTATGCAATACAGATCAGAATCTGGCCCAATATATGGGGAAAAAAAAAAAAACATAATAAGAATAATACCTGTAGCAACTATCAAAAAACAGATTAGGAAACCCTCTGAGGATGAATCTGCATTGCATCAGAATACACCACAATATTGCATATGCCAAGGCAAAATGTAACACTTTCCAGCTCCCTAGTAAAGTTAAGGATTCGGCTTCAGTGATAACTTGCAGTAGTAGGCACTACTAGTCAGTGTTCACAAGAAGCAGCTTTGGTTAATATCAGACCGTTTGTAGACTTAGTTTCTAAAGATCCTGTGATCTTTAGCTTGTCACATTTGCATAAACTGAATTCACTATAGTAGAAAGAGGCATTTATGGCCAATTCACTCAACACACATGCTATTGGCTATTGATGACTCTTGTAAAAAGGACTGAATTTAGGAGATCTACAATTTTACATTCAACAAATGGAATATCTGGAGTGTAAACAGGAAAGTTTAAGTATGTGAGATCAAGATGTTTGGGTGTTTTACACTGAAAAGCTAAAGACATGGAGGGGAGAAATTAGCAGATAGTAAAGAAAATGGGTACTTTGATCCCCTATATCTGGGAATGCCATAAACCTCTTTATGTGTTCCACAATTAAAATTACAAAAGACAGTTATTTCTTGGAAAACCTTAATGGTGTAATAGGAAATATACAGTTAGGTCCAACAGATCCTAACTGTATTTTTCAAGCATTTTAAATACCAACCCTTTTATTTTTAAAGCATAAAATATATATTTTTAATTATCTTTTTTACACAGTTATTTAAAAATAACATTTAAAATGTATCTGAGAATAATCATTTTTTCACTTGCTTTTTGCATTTAATGACAGAATTCCTTGATTAAGTCAGTTTTGTTTTTATACCCTGTTTAAAATCTGCTACTTTCTGTAGATCTTTCTTACACCAGAAAGAAATAAATACTAAGTTATGTGACACCGGCTCCAAAGGCACAAACACTGACCAGGCCACTTAATGTACTGGTTTAGATTCTTGAGTTAACTTTTAATAATTTTCCTTCTTTAGCCAATTTTTGAAGTATTGTTAGTCTATTAGTTTGTTACTCGAAGGATACATTTCACACACAGATTTCCAATGTCTCTTTCTAAGATGTAGCATTTCAAGTAATAATAGTACTGAACTAAAATGATAAGGTCACCATTCTGTCTTGATTAATGACAAAGAAATCCTGGTACTCTTCTAGTCCAGGGCAAAACTTATATTTGACTTTAGATTGTCAGATAATTTCAGCAATGTAAAATACCGGGAATTGCTCTCTAATTAATGAGATATTCAAAACAAAAGACATATTGCCAACATGACCACTGTAGCAAAACCAACAGTATATTTCTAATGCTGGCTTTTGAATTAAGTTTAAAATAATAGAGCAAAGTTGCTTTCAACCCAAAGAGAGAGAAACAGAGATATGTTGATTTTCAGAATGCCTGTAAAGGCATGTTATGCATGGAGGCATTTGAGTGTTTAAACATTAAAGTATGTAGCAAATACTTAAGGCTTTGCCTTGCAGTCTGTTCTCTGACCAAAACCTTGATTCACTGGATTCAAATGGCAATTTTGCCTTCATGTGGCCTGCAGTATCAGGCCTAGAATTTACTTTCAGTAAACTCTTCCATTTGCAAAGCCAAAAGGAAGCTGGAATGTAGCTTTAGTTTCACATACAAAACTATACCATTTGTGTTAGAATACAGACTTGAGGATTACTTTTTAAAAAAATATTTATATAAAGAGAATTAACAGTGCAAGTGTGAAAATCTTACCTAGTCTTTCTTCAAATGTATTTAAAGAAAAGCTCTCCAGTTTTATAGAGAATAAAATAGAAAGGGATAAATATTTCATGATGGGAAGCAGATCCCACAGCATTCCATGCAGATCTCCAAGCAATCTGAAGATTCACAACACGCGTCCATTATGCCACAGTCCATGTCACACGGGCAGTTACAGTCATCCCCCATCTCGTCCCCGCAGCAGCAGCAGCAGGCTTCCGACGTGCAGATGCCACAGGATGCTTGTCCCAGAACAATGTTGCAGAGGGTGAGAAATTCACAGAACAAGCAAGCCAGGATACAGTGAACACAGCAATCTTCATAGGCAATAGTACAGTAGCATGTCAGGAACAAACAAAAGAAACAAACAAAACAATAAAAAAAAAGAAAAAACAAAGAAGGAAAGAGAAAATCATTAATATGTCATTCTAAATCCAGATTTATCACAATGTCAAATAAGTAGCTGAATGAAAATGGTTCAGTGTAGACATTATTTGTAGGCACAAAAAAAGTGCTTCCTATCTTCATGGTCACTTCTGGAGCTCAACTCATGTCCACCTCCATGCAAGTTTCCTGTCACTACTTCACTTCATACAAATCCTTAGTACTAAACTGCTCAGAGCTGCTTAGATCTACCTCCTTAGTAATTTATTATGTAAGATATCCACATCTATTTTTTTCAGTTATTCATTCTTACACAAACTGATAAAAAAATAAAAAACTTACGAGTGAAACTATCAAAAATTATTTCCAGCCCTTCCCAAGCTGTTTTGTTTGCTTGATACATGTGAAGAAAAATAAAGGAGTTGCCTAAACATTGTTGTTTTATTTTATTGTTTTTGCACATGTTAAAACCAGCTTAACAGCACATTATAAATGTTACTTACCCTCAACAATAGGTAAAATATTCAGTCAAAATACAGTTTTTTCTATTGCTTTTCTACACAAATCTACTGGCAATTCTTTTAATATACTGCTTCAATCTTCAAGAGTTGTTAACTACACTTAAACATCAATATACAGCTTTTATAAGGACTACTAAATTATTTAGATAATTAAGGTGTCCCACAAACTATCTGCAAAAGATATGGCTCCCAAAGAGTAAATATATGGAATAACTTCAAACAATAATACATCCATGAGACATGACGGGAAATCAAGGATTGGAACTAAACATGCACCAGTGAAAAGGAGACTGCAGGAATGAGGGACATACTCAATTTTACATAATATGTATAAATTCATACTTATAAGTATACTTAATCTGTAAGAGGCAGTGAATAGTCATTCAGAAATTAAATGAAAATTAAAAATACAAGATGTGTTCAGGATGGGGAAATACTTTTCTTTCCTAGCCTCAGCTTTTATTCTTTTTACTACCTGCAATCTCCAAACTCTTTAGCCACAGACAGGTGAAGACTGGAAAATTTTCTGGGGAAAATACCCTGCACAACCTCACTCTATCTCTTGTCCCTACAGCCTGTCACAGCATCCTTTGTGAGAGTCTGTTAGGATCGACAGGATGTTGAGCTGTATGGTCTGAGCACCTACAGATGTTATGTTCTATAGATGTTATGTTCTTTCAGTTCACAGGCTTAAGACCGCTGTCATAGGGGAAAAAATGCAATTGCAACAGTAATACTATTATCAGGCCTTCTAATCAAATTTATAAATGTAAAAAATTATGCAGTAGCCATGACAAGTATGTTGATTGATTCCAAATACCTCTACCATTGCAGAAACTCGAACTGCATGAGAGTACAGTGATGACTTATACAAGGAAGCATGAATACTTCAAGCAATGCAGCAACAGAGACTCAGACCAGCCAAATCTGTCCCAAGAAGCAAAGGAACTACTTGAGCCTTTAGCCCACTCCTACTTACTATAATACTTAGATGCAAACTTAGCTTGGACATTTCTGCACTGCAATGTGGCTGTAGTCATTATGTACTACTGAACCCTTATGCCCAAAACAAAAAAAATATATAAAAAAATTGGAAATTTCAGAAAAAGCAAGAAGAGGGGAAAAAAAACTAAAAACCTAACCTTAAAATCTCCCTACTACTGTGCAGGAAGCAAAACTGGGAGGAAACTGTAGGTACATTTAATGTGCTTTAAAGACAATGGTTTCTTGTATGAAAAGGCTTCCACTCCCAAAGACATAATGTCGCTAAATAAATGACCTTCATAGAAAACACAGAAGATATGTGAAAAAAAGCTGGAGAGTATCAGTTCACTGAAGAGGACCAAAGCCAGACTGATAGTGATTAATTAGCTGGTTGTCATGGAGATGGTGTTAAATATGCTCAGGTAAAATCTCCTTTCAGATTTTCTTTTACTATGAAGGAAAAAGATAAAGAAGCCAAGAGTTCTATCTAAGAAAGATCCGTATTTGAGGAACTAAGGTTTTAGTATATCACATCTTTAAAATATTAGCTGGAAGCAGCTAATACAACAACAAATGTTGTTCTAAATTTTTTTTTTTTTTAGTATACCATAATGAAACTTTGTGTGTAAGCATATCATAAATAAAATGTACAAAAAATCTTGCTTGCTTAATGCAGGGTTGTGTAAAATTGCAGAGAGAGAGAGATACACATTCACAGACACTATAATATGCTTCTACTGATGAGCAAGGAACAGAGTTCATAGGATAAAAAACAGAAACTGTACTCAGAAAGCATTTTCTGGACCCACAAAAGAACTTTTCCCTCCTAATCTAAAAATAACACCAAATCAAGACTCGGGTAGAGGCCGTGTTTATTTAAATGAAGGTATTCCAAAGGTAAGAGCTATGAAAAATGGTCCAAGACATAGTAAGAAATTTTGGCCATTAGTATTATTATGAAAACTCTGTAGAGGGTCCTTTTTTCCATCTTTTTTTCACTGACTGGAACACTAAAAGGATTTATTTACCTACTCTTTATTTTATGGCAAACCTAATATTCAATTCAAAAACTCTTTATATAACAATTTTACTTAACCTCCACAAACAATTAACAGAAAATAGAGATACCCTTTAGTGCTCTCTTCATTCTTGAAATGACTCATTTGTACAATGAACATAAACTTTGATCCACATTTCAAGGACAAATCTGAAATAATCATGCTTTTATGTTCTTCATGTTACTGACTTTTAATAACTATCCAGGTAGCAATTATTTAACACATGACAAAGCATGCTGTTACCTAGTCCTACCTAACTTGCTGAATTCAGAATCATGACTCTAAAGGGCTGTAATACATTTGGATAAAACAGGTGGAAGAATAATTTCTTCCATGTATGACCCGTATTTCTTGGCTTCTTATCTACAGATGCAATTATAGGAAAAAGATGCAGTTACACTGTATTTTTATAGTAATAACAAACATACATGCCACACAAAACTCATCCTTTAGTATCTGCATTCCTACAGCAATCTGTCAGTTCCACAGAAATCACTATACAGCTAAAACTGACTGCCCTTGTGACCAGTGGAATACAGCCATGAAGGTGCTGTACAAAGCTCACTTCAAAAGAGATGACCACAGGTTTTTCATTACCATGTTTGAGACAACTACAATATATTTCATTGCTTGCACAAGACACTCCAGTAATTTTTTTCTGCTTATAAGACCAAGGAAACTATTTTAAGTTACATATTATTCTAAGTTTTAAAACTTATTAGTACATTAGGAATAAAGACTATACTTAACTTCCACTCTTTAATCTTACCCCATCAAAATCCCTTTTTTTTTTTTTAACCATGTGATTGAGGAGTGGAACACTTTAATCCAACTAGAACTAAACATATTTTATGTGTTTGTAAACTTGGTGATTTTAATGTCTGACAAGGAATTTTCTGGAACCTTTGAGTATATTCTAGTCTTTTCTAATAAGGAGATGACACAATAATAGCAGTTACAATACTGGTGCCAGCTTAAAATCATGTATTTCTTTAAGCTCTTTTTTGTTTGAGAATTAGAGGGTCTCAATTCTTCTTTTCCCATTAGAGGTAATAACACAATTGAGAATTAGGGGCATGTCTTTATCGTGGACAGAACTTCATTAGCCTTGACATTCATGATGCACTACTGTAAGTTAACTCTGAAGTTTCTTAGGGCTTAAGTTTTCATTAAACCAATTTCTCTCTCTGTGGAAGTATCTAAGTTTCATCACACAGGCAAATCATTAACAAAGATAAACTTTTTCTTAGGACTTCTACACTACACCACACCAGTCTCAAATTTCCCTTGTTTTTCAATTCTTATATTACACTTTAATTAAGAATTGCTGCACTAGAGACTGCCACTTTTATAAAAGTGAGGATGTGGGGTACAAGCACTGTCTAGAGGCATACTTAAAAAAAAAATAAAATTCCAAATCAGTAAGTTAGTTCTTTCACCAAATGTGTCTGATTTTGTCAAAACACTGTATCACATTTCTTGACTAGATCCAAGCTCCTATAAGCTATGCTAAATGGCATAAATTACAACAGTCTTGATCTGTTGGCAGTGCTAGTACATTTTATGGGACCAATTTGTGTTTGGGGAAAAAAGGTGAGCTTTCAGACACTCAAGCTTATTTTCAATTATTCCCTCATTTTGTCTGGGATGAAAGCTAGACCTGAAGTTAAAATGGTCATCCCATCTGACATTTTTTAAAGCCAGTGTAAGTGAAGCTGTTTCCTTAGTCCTTTGGCACATTCCCAAAAGGCACAGATTTGTTAGGGAACTTCATCAAAACTGTTAAACAATGCCAAGGCAAATAGAACCCAACCAACATGTTCAAGTTTTTGCTGCTTTATATCATACACACACACCCAACCGTGTGCTGATTTAACCAAAGAGTGAATACAGTATATGTAACATCTACTTTAACTGGGCTTTAAATATTACCACAGACAAGATCCAGACAAAAAATAGGCCTAAGATCCCTTCAAACTGTTTACACACTGTTATAAAAGCCCAGAAGGCTCCACTCCTGACTTACCCCAGTTATAACAGCTACACTCATTTAAGAAAAAGAAATACCAAGAATAAAACTATTTTAATGCTTTTCCACATCTATAAACATTTGCATGTGCACACCACTTTTTATTTCTAAAACTTCTGCATACAGATATTACCATGGTATCCCATTTCTTTCAAACACTGTCATATACATTTATTTTATTTCAATTTCCCTTGTATCATCTCCTCTTCATTTTTATGAAAAGGTGCAGCTCTACTTAAAAAGCAGGCTTTACGAGAATGATCAACCGTCAAAACTGTACAGAAAATGCAGGAGGTGAGCTGAAAAATGCACAGAGAAATGTATGTGCGGGCTGCTATGTG